CTACTTAACTCTGTTGTATAGAACAAAAATAGCCATAAACAATATATAATCAAAGGGAACGAATGTGTTCAAATAAAACATCATTGACAAAAGCAGAAGGTAGGCCAGATTTTGCCCATGACCCTTAGTGCTGAGCCTTGGTATAGACAGTATAATCCTATAACTGGATGCAAGTTTCAAGCTGCATGAAAAACATCTTTTTCATTCATTCCTGTCAATGTATCTCTGTGATTGAATATGTAATCTCATTTAGAAAATGTAACAAGTCTAAATTTGAAGGTTTTCCTGATTGGGAAGACTGGGCTAAAAACATCTGAATCTTATCTCCACCTCATGATAATACCATATTGCTTAAGCCTATAGGCTTTGAAGTCAGATGTTGTATAGACCATAGGCAAGTTAATAAGCCTCTGAGTCTTTGTTTCCTCTTCTGTGAAATGGGGATAATAATTACATCCTAGAAATACTGTCCACCACTTGTCTCTCACTTTGTCATACTGTGGTGGCTTGTGTGTTGCTGTGAGGCTGGAGGCTCTGTCACCAGTATTTCAAATACCAGCAGGGTCACCCAAGGTGGAGAGGTTTCAGCAAAGCTTCCAGACTATGATAGACTTAGAAGAAGGAAGTGCCCATACACTTCTCAAAGAATTGGCCAGTGAAAACCTTATGAATAGCAGTGAAATACTGTCTTATATATTACTGAAAACTTTATGAATAGTCCTAAAACATTGTCTGATATAGTCCTGGAAGATGAGCCTCTCAGGTCCGAAGGCACTCAAGATATGACTGGGGAAGAGCTGCTTCCTCTGAGCAGAGCCGACCTTAATAATGGGGATGGAGTAATGCTTTTGGGACCTCCATTTTCTAATGTTGCATGACTCAAAATGGGAAGGAATAGCTGCAAACATCCATTAATAATCAGAACATTGAATGTATGAAGAATGAATTTAGGAAAATCAGAAGTTGCCAAAAATGAAATGGAATGCATAAAGATCCATATCCCAGTGAGCTGAAATGGATGGGTTTTGCCATTTTGGATCAGACCACCATATGACCTACTATGATGGGAATGACCAATTGAAGAGAAATAGTGTGGCATTCATGATCACGAAGAATGTTTAAAGATCTATCCTGAAGTACAGTGCTGCCAGTGATAGGATAATATCCACACACTTACAAGGAAGACAAGTTAATAATGCATTATTCAAAAGAATAATGAAGATGGGGCAATCTACTTCCATAGTGATACTGCCTCAGAAACCCAAGGAGGGGTCGCTATGAGTTGGGTCCGACTTGATGGCACATAACAACAACAACAACAACAACAACAACAACCAACTTCTGCAGTCTGAAATTGACCAAATATGAAATCAAGATGTGTTGATTATTACTGGTGATTGAAATGCAAAAGTTGAAAACAAAGAAGAATCACTAGTAGTAGGCAAATATGGCCTTGGTGATAGAAATAACACTGGAGATTGCATAATAGAATTTTGCAAGACCAATGAGTTATTCATTGCAAATACCTTTTTTCAACAACACAAATGATGGCTACACATGTGGACTTCAGCAGATGGAGTACACAGGAATCTAGTTGACTACAATCTGTGGCAAGAGGTGATGAAGAAGCTCAGTATCTTCAGCCAAAACAAGGCCAGGATCTGGTTTTGAAACAGACTATCAACTGCTCATATGCAAGTTCAAGTTGAAGCTGAAGACAATTAAAACAAGCCCATGAGAGCCAAAATATGACTTTGATTATATCCCTTCTGAATTTAGAGACCATCTAAAGAATAGATTTGATGCATTAAATACCAATGACCAAAAACCAGAAGAATTGTGGGATGGCACCAAGAACATCATCCATTAATTTTCTGGTTACCTAGTGCCACTCTGATGAGAATAAACCACAAATGGGGTGACTTCAATAAACATGAGTTTATTCTCTTACAGTTTGGGAGGCTAGAAGTCTGAGTTCAAAGTGCCAGGCTCCAGGAGCTGTGTGAAAGCCCCTTGACCTTGGGCTTCAGCTCTGCCTCCTGCTCCCAGCCCACTGAAGCTGGAGGCTTCTTCACTCAGCTGCTGGCTGCTGAGGCTGACAAGCCCAAGGTTGACAAGTAAAAAGGCACAGTCCCAATGTTACCAAACCACATGGCAGGCCATTCATTCAAGCCCATTGAAAGTCCCAAGGTCGCCAGAGTGAGGCAGGCTGCTGAACAATGACTTGGCTACATGAAGGGTTCAAGTGTGCCATAAACTAGAAATGATTACCCAAGGTTGCTCCTTGAATAGAAGAAACAGACCACATCCCCTAGGGCAGCCACTCAGCTGCTCACCATGGAATTGATTCCACCATGGAATTGATTACCAGTCTCATCATGGGGAATACTACTACATCCAGCTGCCCAGCCGCTCAACCAGGCCCAGCCAAGTTGACACACAAAGTTAACTACAAGAATGAATAAAGCACAAGGCCATTAAAAAGACAGGAAAGGAAGAAAAGACCAAAATAGATGTCAGAAGAGATTCTGAAACTTGCCCATGAACACAGAGTAGCTAAAGCAAATGGAAGAAATGACAAATAAAAGAACTGAAGATTTCAAAGAGGAGCTCGGAAGACAACATTAATTATTATGAAAGGTAAAAAGACCTGGAGTTAGAAAACCAAAAGGGAAGAACATACTCAGCATTTCTCAAGCTGAAAGAATTAAAAAAAAAAAAAAAAATTAAATTAACCTTCGAGTTGCAATACTGAAAGATTCTATGGGCAAAATAATGAATGATGCAGGAAACAGCAAAAGAAGATGGAATACAGAGTCACTATACCAAAAGGAATTGGTCAGTGTTCATCTATTTCAGGAGGTGGCATATGATCAAGAACCCATGGTACTGAAGAAAGAAGTTAAAGCTGCACTGAAGAAATTGGCAAAGACCAAGTCTCCAAGAATTGATAGAATACCCATTGAGATGTTTCAAGAAATGGATCCCATACTTGAGGCATTCACTTGTCTCTGCCAAGAAATCTGGAAGACAGCTACCTGACCAACTGACTGGAAGAAATCCATATTTGTACCCATTCCAAGAAAGGTGATCCCACAGAATGTGGAAATTATCGGACAATATCATTAATATCATACACAAGTAAAATCTTGCTGAAGATAATTAAAAAATGGTTGCAGCAGTATATTGACAGAGAACTTCCAGAAATGCAAGCTGTCATTTAAACAGAACAAGGGGATACTGCATGGTTTAATATCAGGAAGGGAGTGCATCAAGATTGTATCCTTTCACCATACTTATTCAATCTGTATGCTGAACAAATAATCCAAGAAGCTGCATTATATGAAGAAGAACGTGGCATCAAGATTGAAGGAAGACTCATTAACAACCTGCAATATGCAGACGACACAACTTTGCTTGCTGAAAGTGAGGATGACTTGAAGCACTTACTGATGAAGATTAAAGACTTCAGTCTGCAGTATGGATTACAGCTCAACATAAAGAAAATGAAAATCCTCACAACTGGATGAATAAGCAGCATCACAGTAAATGGAGAAAAGATTGGAAGTTGTCAAAGATTTCATATTACTTGGTTCCACAATCACCATCAATGAAAGTAGCAGTCAAGACGTCAGATGATGTATTGCACTGGCAAATCTGTTGTAAAAGACCTTTTTTAAAGTACTGAAGAGCAAAATATTTTCTTGAAGACTAAAGTGTGCCTAACCCAAGCCATGGTATTTTCACTCTCTTCCTTTACATGTGAGGGCTGGACAATGAACAAGGAAAACTGAAGAAGAGTTGATACTTTTCAGTTGTGGTGTTGGTGAAGAATACTTAAAGTACCATGGACTTCCAACAGAATGACCAACCTGTCCTGGAAGAAGTGCAGCCAGAATGCTCCTTGGAAGCGAGAATGGCCAGACTTTGTTTCACTTACTTTGGACCATTCCCTGGGGAAGGATATCATGCTTAATAAAGTGGAGGGTCAGCCAAAGAGGGGAATGCCCTCAAGGACATAGATTGACACAGTGGCTGCAACAATGGGATCAGGGATGGCTAGGATTTGGGGGCTAGCACAGGACCGGGCAGTGTTTCATTCTGTTGCACACAGGGTCGCTATGAGTCAGAGTTGACTCTACAGCACTTAACACCACCACCAAACCAGTTGTGGGGGAGTCAACTTTGAGCTACAGTAACCCCTGTTTTGTCACCATAGACCTGTGCTCCATTGTGCTTTCAATGGCTGATCAGAGGTAGATGTTCAGATTTTTCTTCTGAGGTGTCTCTGGATGGAATCAAACCACTAGCTTTTCCATTAGAAGGCTACTTGTTTGCACTACCCAGGGATTCTGTCAATATATTTAAAAAACCAAAAACCAAACCTACTACCCTGGAGTTGGTTTCAACTCATAGCAACCCCCCCTTGGGTTTTCCAGGCAGTAACTCTAAGGAAGTAGATTGCCCAGGTTTGTGATCAAAGAGTGATGGGTTTGAATTGCCAGCCTTCCAGTTAGCAGTCAAATGCCTTAGGCACTAGGCCACCAGAGCTCCTACAACAGTTATGGGTAATGGGTATTGAAGAACAAACTAAAACTCCAAAGAGTTGACTTGCCCAAGGACATAGCTTGTAATTGGTGGAGGCGAGACTGGAACCCAGCTGACCAAACTCCACGCTTTAGCACGCATTGCGCTCCCGGAAGTCCCGCCCAAGGTGAGGGACTGAATCAGGAAAAGAGTGACTAAGAGCAAGCCGGAAAGGGAAGAGGCGCAGCCCGTTGAAGACGCTCTAGCTTTCGTCCTCCCTATGGCCCCCGCACGTTGACAGTCCAGTACTCCAAGCCTCTTCACTATTGGATGCGTAGCCTCGCATAGGCGGGCCGCTCGATTTGCGGCATAGTGATTGGCTAGATCCGCCATGCGGAGAGGAGCGGCGCGGCTGTCCTGGGGCACGCAAACAGTGGAGCCGGTCTTTTCCGAGCTCCGAGGGCGGCCGATGCATGTGGGCTCTCCGCTCGCTGCTGCGGGCCGCGGCTGGGCGCACCATGTCTCAGGGGCCTGCCCGCCGCCAGCGGCCGCCCAAGGACCCGCTACGGCACCTGCGCACGCGGGAGAAGCGTGGCGGATCGTGGGAGCCCGGCGGACCGAACACTGTGTACCTGCAGGTGGTGGCTGCCGGCGGCCGGGACGCTGGCGCAGCTCTCTACGTGTTCTCCGAGTACAACCGGTCAGTGCGCCACGCTTGACACAGGGCCAGGCCCCCGGCGCCCCTTTATCCAGCTCTGTCCCACCCCATCCCGCCGGACCCTCCGTGCTGTGCAGCCTGGGGCCATCGCAGCACCTCTCTGAGCTTCTGTTTTCTATATCCTAAAACCAATCCAAACTCACTGCCACCGAGTCGATTCTGACTCATAGAGACCCCCTTTGGGTTTGCGAGGCGGTAAATCCTTGTAGAGATAATTGCCCAGTTTTGGTCTTTTACCTTACACATGTGGGATTTCATTATTATAGCAGTTCTAGGCCTTTTGGTAGGAGCTCTGGTAGCATAGTGCCTAAGGCACTTGACTGCTAACCAGAAGGCTGGCGGTTCAAACCCACCAGCCAGTCTTCGGAAGGACGGTTGGGCAATCTACTTCCGTAGTAATACTGCCTCGGAAACCAAGGAGGGGTCGCGATGAGTCAGGTCCGACTTGACGGCACATAACAACAACAGCAAGAACAAGCTTTTTGGTGAATGGAAAGGGAAGACTTGACCTCTGTATGTCCATATGGTTTCTGGGGATCTGTGGAGACCTTCAGACTTGGGTTTCCCTAAGCGTCTTCTTCCCAATTCTTGGGCTCCAGGCTCCTTCTTAACCCATCCTGAACTATACTCTTTATCCCTTGCACCGTGAGGCAGGGGCCTCAAAGTTTGTGTGGAGAGTTGACAGAACTGATGAGGAGGTGATGGGAGAGTGATTTCTCTGGTCCCAGTACCAACTTACCCACACTTCCAGCCCCTCTGCTTCTGCTGAGGTGGGTTCAGAACCCAGCAGAAAAGCAGCGGGGTACAATGTAGATTTTCTTTAGTTCAGAATCTACAATAAAGTCTGTAATAGGTCTTAAAGATTTTACAGAACAGGATCTAATGAGTATTTGGGGTAATGCTTGCCTTGTAGGTATCTCTTCAACTGTGGAGAAGGCATTCAGCGACTTATGCAGGAGCACAAGTGAGTCAACCATTTTTTTGGGGGGGGTAGGTATGATTATGAGGTTTGAAAGCTGAGGTGAGAGACAGGAATGTTTTTATAGCTTAAATAGTCCCTGGTCAATTCATTTTATTCTGCTAAAAAATCTTCTCTTTCTTAGACTGAAGGTTGCTCGTTTGGATAACATATTCCTGACCCGAATGCACTGGTATAATGTTGGGGGGTTGTGTGGTAAGTATGATTTTTCCAGAGTTAACAGCTGGAGGGATTCTGGAATTTTAACCTGATTTGCCCCTTTTCTGCCAGTCCTACGACCCCAGAGGAGATAGAATTCTTTCTATGCCAGCCTGGTCAGCTGGATCTTGGAGCATCAAAAGCTATGCCTTAGAAGAACAGATTTTAACATGCATACTACCTCTATGTTTAAGTGGATTTGTTTTTAACATGATTATCATCCACGTGGTTTCTTGGGTTGCTGGGCCAGAGTTTTGTGGTAATAAACTGGATAATGTATTAGAGGTGATTACAGTAAATCTGTTTATCATTGAGACCATCAGCAGCCAAATGCAGACACCCACTATCCAGATGACTCTGCTGTTCATTTCCATCCACTAGGAAGGGCAAAAGAGCTCTGTTGGCACAGTGGTTAAAAGCATTCAGCTGCCTACCAGAAGGTGGGAGGTTCGAACCCATCAGCTTCTCCATGGGAGAAAGATGATGCAATATGCTTTTGTAAATATTTATAGCCTTAGAAACCCTACAGGGTAGTGCTAATGAGTCAGAATTGGCTCAGTAGCAGTGGGAGGAAGGGCAAGACTGTATTACAGCCAAATTCTGTAAGCTTCACAATATGCTAGAAAGGAGTGGAGCTTTGGACCCATTCAAGATTGAGACTAGGGCTAGGGTACAAAATTTAAAACCACTGTACCACCCTGAGAGTGAGCACCTCTTTAAATTGTATGCCCTAGATGCTCTGGTAGCATAGTACCTAAGGCACTTGACTGCTAACCAGAAGGCTGGCGGTTCAAACCCACCAGCCACTCCTCGGAAGGAAGGTTGGGCAATCCTACTTCCGTAGTGATACTGTCTCGGAAACCCAAGGAGGGGTCACTATGAGTCGGGGCCTACTCGACTGCACATAACAACAACAAACGACAGATACTTCACACTAATATCAGTCCTGCCTATCCTACAAGCATTTAGAAGTATCTGATGGCCCTCTTGTCTTAGGCTAACATCACTTCTACTCTGCACATTTTCCCAATCACTATTTGGAAGTTTGAATGAGAACAAGTAGATAATTGCTGGATAAATGAAGGCTATTTCTCCTGGCTGTGACTATAGATCTATAGGAGGTAGGGGAATTCTATAGTTAACAAGAGATTTATGTTACAGGTTTTGATTTTATTCATCCTTTTTTAGGAATGATTCTCACTTTGAAGGAAACTGGGCTTCCAAAGTGTGTACTTTCTGGACCTCCACAACTGGTGAGTGTCTCCTAGGAGTCAGCAGTCAAACTCTAGTCCCCCTCTCCCTTTTAATGTTAGTAACAACAATTAACTTCCATTTCTGCAAAGTGGTGTTTTTCAGAGATAACTGGTAGTATAGTAGTTGAACACTTTACCACGCAAGCTGAATAGACCTGAGTTCAAAGCTATCCATTGTGTGACCTTGAATTAATTCTTTTACTTTTCTTAGCCTCAGTTTCTTCATCTATAAAATGGCTATAATGTTTCACAGAGTTGTCATTAAGGATTAAATAAGTCAGCACATGTAAAGTACTAAATCACTTCATCAGATGTTTTTACCACGTAGGCACTCAAGAAATGGTAGCTCTTGTTTTTGTATAAGAAGCCCTGGTAGTATAGTGCCTAAGGCATTTACTGCTAACTAGAAAGTTTGTGGTTCAAACCCACTAGCTGTTCCATAGACGGAAGATGGGGCAATCTACTTCTATAAAGATTTAATATCTCAGAAACCCAGTGGGAGTCACTATGAGACTGAATCGACTTGATGGCAGTGAGTTTTTGTTTTGTATGTTTATTACATTGTAAACATCTATCTACCTTCCAAACTAGCCACTTCTGTGAATTTGTGCCCAAGAGTGCTTCTGCCTGCATGCATTGTTAATGCCATACTATTGAATACAGCTGTTCACGTCCTAGTTCTTAAGAGGAAAGGCAGCCAGTCACCAAATCCCATTAATTCTGTCTCCAAAATACATCAAATCCATCCATTTTTCTCTATCTCATCAAAGCCTTCATTATTTTTCACCCAGTATGCTACAGTAGTCTCTGATACCCAGGCTTGTCTTTAATCTACCTACCACACAGCAGCCAGTGGACCTCTTTAAGATGTAAGGTGCATGATTTTTTCAGAATTGATTGAATTCTGCATTTAAGGTCTGTGCATCTTAATGTATGTTAAAAAAAAAAAAAAGATGTAAGCATGCCATTTCCCAACCCAAATCCTTCAAGGGCTTTCCATTGCAGTACAATCCAAACACCTTTAATATGGCTGCAAGTCCTAGAGCTCTGGTAGCGTAGTGCCTAAGGTACTTGACTGCTAACCAGAAGGCTGGCGGTTCAAATCCACCAGCCACTCCTCAGAAGGAAGATGGGGCAATCTACTTCCGTAGTGATATTACCTCGGAAACCCAAGGAGGGGTCGCTATGAGTCGGGTTCGACTCGACGGCACATGACAACAACAACAACAGTCCTAAAGACCTTGGCCCTTACCCATGCTTCTCTCTGTATTCCAGTCACCAAGTTATACCTGCATTGGCTAACTTTTTTTTTTAATTTTATTGTGATTTGTGTGAAAGTTTACAAACCAAATTCATTTTCCATACAGCAGTTCACATACACTTTGTCTCATGACATTGACTGTAATCTCCCACAATGCAACAGCTCTTCTCCTACTTCCTCCCCATAGCCACCTCTTCCCTGTGTCCTTCCCGCCCATGCCCTCCTGCCCCTCAAGCTGTTGCCGTGTGCATACACAGCCCTTCTATTCTGTGATTGATCTCTCCAAGGAGTATATCTACCTAGTATAAATGTTCAGCTCATATACCTGTGTTTTGTTTGGAAGCCACAGGAGTAGGTTCAATTCCAGACCTTGAAGGGCAACTGGGGACCATAGTCTCGGGTTCCACAAGGCTATATCAGACCAGCAAACCTGGTCTCTCTCTCTTTTTTTTTTTCTTTTTATGATTTTGAGTTTTGTTTCACATTGTTCTCCTGTTCTATCCAGGATCTCCTACATAGATCCCCCTCTGAGTAGTTGACAGTGGTAGCCGGGCACCATCTAGTTCTTGTGGTCTCATAGTTGTATAGGCTGAGGATCACATGCTGTACCAGTCCCTTGGACTAATTGTTTCCATGAGTCTTTGGTTTTCTTCATTTTCCTTTGCTGTGAATGAGGAGAGACCCATCATTGCCCATCTAGATGGCTGCTTGCAAGCTTTTAGGATCCTAGTTGCTACTCATCAAAGTAGGATGTGAAACAATGTTTTTGTGTAGTATGTTATGCCAATTGAGCTTGATGTCCCCTGCAACCATGGTCCTGAGTACACTGGCTAACTCATAGGTCTTCTATCATTCTGTACCCCAGTGAAGCCCCTTCCCATCTCAGGACTTTCATCCATATGTTAATTCTTTCTAGAATGCTTCTTATAGAGTCTGTGGGTGGGGTAACGGCTTAGTGCTTGATAATTAACTGAAAGGCTGACAGTTCAAACTTACCCAGAGGTGCCTCAGAAGAAAAGCCTGTCAGTCTGCTTCTGAAAGGTCACAACCTTAGAAATCCTATGGAGCAATTTTACTCTGAACCACATGGGGTCATCATGAATCAGAACCAACTTGACAGCAACTGGTTTAGTTTATTTGGTTTAGAGTGCTCCTTATTTTCTCATCCCCTGCCTATATCCTGACCAATTCTTTAGGGCTCAGTTAAAAGATCGTTTGCTCAGGAGCCATCTCTGACTGACCCTGCTTTTTTTTTTTTTTTTCCGTTTTTTTGGCAGAGCACGTAACCACAATTGCATTAAGTGACTCTGTTATCATTTGTTTAATATTTGCTTCCTCCACTGAATTCTAAGTTTCAAGGAGCTAAATCCTTGGCATCTAACACATAGTGGGCATGCTCAGTAAGTATTTGTATAAATGAAGTTCAAAATATTTATTAGAATTTGTTTTATATTTGTACCTACTGTTCCCTCTGTGGACTTCCATATATTGTTACATTCTGCATTTGTGTAACCATAACTGCTCATTTCTTTCTTTTTCTTTTTTAGGAAAAATATCTTGAAGCTATCAAAATATTCTCTGGCCCCTTGAAAGGAATAGACCTGGGTATGTATGTAAGCTCTGGTGGTGTAGTGATTGAGGCATTTGCCTGCTAACCAGAAGTTTGATGGTTCAAACTCACTAGCTGCTCTATGAAAGAAAGATGAGGCAGTCTGCTCTGTAAAGATTTATAGCCTTGGAAACCCAGTGGGGGTCGCTATGAGTTAGGGTTGACTTGATGGCATTGAGTTTGAGTGAATTTATGTTTTGTGACACTGACTCATTATTCCCCATTTCTTTCTTATATGTGCCCCAGCCTCTCAAATTATGATCCATAAAAACTGACCCAAGTCAAACCTTAAACACTTAATCAACATAAGAGAAATTTCAAAATATAGCCAGAAGCACCTTTCCTACCTCCACCTTATTCCACCAAAATATAGGCTCAATAGGCATGCCTGCTCTGTCATGGTCTCCAAGCACCAAGGCACTTTCCCTAGTCCTTGATGTGGTTCTGATAGTTGCTTTGCTTTGGATCCCTGAAGTGGAAAGAGGCAATACAAGTAGAGAGATGTAGAGGTTTTTTTTTCCTTCTTGAACCCTGAACTTCAGCTATAGCTGCTGGTAGCATATGGCCTCTTGGTGGGAAGAGACGAAGCCATAGATGCAGGCAGGGCTCATCTTGGGGCCTGTGTACATCTTTGGCTTATGAATGTACCTTGTTAATAGGAGCACTGATATTTTAAAAAGTATTTTAAAAATAATCTAGTTACCACTGAGTCTGTTCTGACTCATGGTGACCCCATGTGTGTCAGAATAGAGTTGTGCTCCATAGGATTTTCAGGGCTAATTTCTCTACAGATGGCTAGGTTGGGTAGACTTGAACCTCTAGCCTTTCAGTTTTCAGCCAAGTGCATTATAGTTTGCACCACCCAAGGACTCCTCAGAATGTATACTGGCTCTTACAGCTGAGGTGATGAACATTTTGGCCTCATAATGTATGTGTTAACTTGTTCCTCTTAAATGAGTATCGGTTTCTTTCTAAAGGTTAGTCACTAATGATAACAACATGTTTTTCTCTTGGATGAGTAAATATTGATGAAAATCCAATTTTTTCCTAAAAATTTTAATCTATTCAGAAATTCACATTCTAGTAACAAATTCCCACCAAAAATGCAAGGCAACTGAGTTGCTTGTGATTATAGATCTTAGAAGTTAGTTTTCATACATGTCTTCATTAATGCAGTCGTGTTTTCTGTTTCATCTTTAACTTAGCTGTGCGACCCCACTCTGCGCCAGAATACAAAGATGAAACCATGACAGTTTTCCAGATTCCCATATACAGTGAGTATAAAAGTCAAATTTCCGAGGAAAAGGCGGGTGAAGGTCCTAGGTTGTAAGAAAGGAAAATGTGCGTGAAGATAGAAACTATTTGAGTATTTGCACTGGGTACCCTGTTTTGGGCATGATAGGAAATTTAGCAGGAGTTGAGACGTGGTTCCTGCCCTGGTTTGTGGAGCTCACAGTCCTGTGGACAGACACATTTAAGTCACGTGTGATGACAGTGATTATACTTCGGAATGTTACATACTGGGTGCTGTCAGAAAGCGGACTGTACTTTCGTTTTGTGAAAGTATGCTCATTCATTCCATGGGCTTTATTTGCTACAGCTGTAAATACCTTCCTTTGATGAGAAGACCTGAGAGATGTGCTTAGGTGAACATTAAATATGGATGACATCCTAAAGGAAGTTAGGGTCAAAAGTTCAGACCAACATTCTCAGGTACCAGGGCCTCATGCTATGGCTTTGACTTCTAGACACAGACAGCATGCATATCAGGTCCAGTTTCATCCTTGAGTTTGGCTGACACGTTCTGTGTCAGGCTTTACTTACATGTGGATAGAATTCCGGGCAGTTGGTACTTTTCCTTGACAGAAATCAGAGAAATCCCACACCTGTCTGGAGATGAGACATATGCTGCCTCTTGGGTGGAAGGAGGGAGGGAAGTGAGGGGTGTGGCCAGAGCCAAAGGCACTAGTGCTTCTAGGCCAGTGAGAGGACAGGTCTGGCTGGAATTGTCCTTGCCTGCTCCCTCTGGGTCAGACATTTTCTCTGACCTCCTTGCAGCCCTGCGTCCATGCTTTGGCTGACCTGTGCACCGCTGTTGTTCCAGTCTAGCACCCTTTCTTCCCTCCATGGCCCTGAATAGTTTACTTTTTATATGCATTTGCAATCAATACCTAACTCAGTCAGTTTTGCTGCTTGTTGTTTTCCTGGTACCCAATAGGCACTAAATGAATGAGCAGACTTAGAGGAGCAAGCAGGAGTTCTGTAAAGACCAGAAGCTGTGCTCCAGCTTCTTAGAACATTGAATTATTATTATTATTTTGACTTGAAACTAACAGATTGCAAAATAAGATGCTTCTTAAAACAATGTATAACCTTCAGACTTAGGTCTGTTTATTTGGAGTGATGAAAATGAATAAACCAGCCTATAGCCTTCATGATTTTTAGTCAGCAAACACTTGAGTTCGTGCTACAGACAAGGCTCTGAAATAGGAAGAAACAGAAAGATGAGTAAGATGTAATTACTGTTTGGAGACTAGTTGGGGAGGCAACTGATTATTTTCTGCTCTAAAAGAAAGCAGGCTGAATTTAACTGGCTTGCTGGCATTCACACACGTGAACATCTGGGCTTTGGCTGTGAGCTCACTGTGTGTGGTGTGTAATTTGATTGTTTCCTGCACTGACCAGGTGAACAGACTTGTAGAGACCACCAGCCAGCCCAGACACTGGAAAGACCTCCCAGCAGGCTCAGTCCAAAACAGTTGTCAGACTCTGGATCAACTGAAAGTAAGCATTACTTTCCAGATGGTAGTGGTTGGTGCTTCAGAAGGACTCTGGGAAATCACTTGCATTCTCTTAGTTCTCTCCCTTTAATGCTCTAAACTAGAACCATTATTAAAAGAAATCATGTGTGTGAGAGCAGATAATTTGTTATTGGCATGTTCTTCTTTGGTCTTTGGGGAGAATGAGAAAGGTTGTGGCAGGACCTGTGCTTTTTTAAAGGCCAGTGTGCAGCCCTGGGTAGGCCCAACACTTTGTGTTCAGTTTATCCAGAGGAGAGCAGGTTGTGGGAAATAGCATTTTTCGTTAATGCAACTTTTACTGTTGATGAGAAGCTGTAACTGCTAAGCTGACAACACAGACTCATACCAATCAATGGATTAGCATCTGTTCTTTCAGAATGACAGCCTACTGGGCAACTAACTTAAAATGATAAGAGTAGGTGTCTCAAAGGGGTTAGACTACTTCAGGATACTCTTGTCCATTTTGGAAAAGCAATGATAAGTCCCTTTCTGGCCTGAGGTTATATCTGTCTGACGTCCAAGGAGAAGCTGAGTCTGTGTAAGCTGTCCTTTTTTGAATAACATGGGGAGTGTGACACCCACCTTTTCTTTGCAGCTTTTTTATATTCCATGCTGTTTCATATATTCTAATACTTGTTTCTAAAACATATTACAATTTAATTTTCTCTTTTCTATGTAAAGTGTGTTCTGATTTTTTTAAATTTCACTTGCCATTTTTAAATTTTTGTGGTTGGAATTTGTGTTTTACTCAGATCTTAACCTACGTACTGACAGTACTTTTTCTCCCTTCCTTAGTACTTAAAACCTTAGTACTTTTTCTCCCTCCCAGAGGGAGAAAAAGGTCTGCTTGAGAATGTTAGTATATTCTTCAGCCTGAGATTGGGAAGGTTACATCCATTTAATTTTTGCTTAAAGTCAAATTAGGTATTAGATGATCAGCTAGTTGTGACACCTATGCAAACTTCCCGTTTACGTTGTTATAACTAAGTTTGTTTGTCTTCAGGTGTTAGCCAGAAAATGGATGGCAGGGACCCTTCCTTGGTAGTAGCTTTTGTCTGTAAGGTAAGAGAGCCTTTCTGTTGGGTTTTAAGGGCACATGTACATGATAGCCAGTGTGCTAGTGTGTTGATGGCCTCTGGTTAGCACTTGTTCATTAATTTGAAGGTAGCAGATTTTAAGTTGCCTATGCTGAGAAGAAACAGAGACATTTCTCAAAATACCATCTATACTGTTTTATCCTTTCAAATTCTTTTCAAGTGCTCAGTCAGGCCACATATTCTTGTTTATTTGGTTGTGATTGGTCCTCCTCAATTTCTGGAATAGCTACAGGCAGCCTTGTTTGTCCTCTTTCAAGTCAGTTAGACCTTTATTTGACTCCTTCAACTTCGTTTTATTTTGTTTCATTTCACTGTAGTTGTTAAGGTTCTGACCTTGTGATACTGCCTCAGAAACCCAAGGAGGGGTCGCTATGAGTTGGGTCCAACTCCATGGCATGTAACAGCAACAACAGCATTCATAAATGCCTAGATCTGTAAATGTAAAATTGGCCAAATTCTATTAAAATAATTTATTACAATAAGCTATTTTTAAGATCAGAATATTTTTAATAGGACTTTGCATTAAAATTTCTTTATAGTACTTCACCTGCTGTGGATACTTTTGTCTAATCTGTGGTGAGAGTACATTGTCCTTTTGTAAGTCTTTTTTTTTTTTTTTTCCATGTGAAGCGTACAATTTTTTTTTTATTAGGATTTGGGTGAAGATTTACAGAGTAAATTCACTTTTCATACAGCAGTTCACATATACTTTGTCTCATGTCATTGACCA